TTCATGGTCTATCACAGAGAGTGAATAACTTGGCAACCAACACTACTGCAGGAAAAGGAGGCACTACAGGAGGGATATATTTGGATTCAGTAAGTCATAGACATTATGCCAGGAGAAATGATATTCCAGCTGAATACAAAGAATGTGTAGGAAGAGCCTAGCATTAGGGAGTCAAACTGTTACAGGTTGGAGTTGGAGTGTCTGAGATACTCACCTAGGGATGTGAGGGCCTGGATGACTCTTTTATTTTTCTTAATCTGGTTTCTACAACAGTGTGGTTAGACATGTTTGTGTTCAACACTATCTCTAACTGTTCCTTGCTCTTTCATCTTGAGCAGCCTACTTTAGAAGTGTTGGATAAAGGAGTGCATGTAAATTGCTTCCACACTCACTGACATGTGATAATTTCTCAGTAGGTATAAGTATATTCATTAGCTTTATTAGTTTTATGATTATCATCATTATCATTGTTAATATTTGAACTCATCTCCCTCAGTCTATTTATTTTGGATCAACGTTTTTCTGGAAGCCAACCAAACCTTATTCCTTATTAAATTTCCATCATTCTTCTTCTTTCTTCTGCCTTGTCACTCTTACAGTTGACATGCCACCATGGCTGGGATGCAAGAACTGGAAATAGATAATCTAAAATACTGGAATGTGTGGCTCTATTATTCACATGTCACGACCATGTAGAAGAGCTGTTCCTACATGTTAGCATGCTCTCCTGGTGAACTTCCCTTAGGATGGTAAAATATTTAAAGCAGTGATAGATGTCCTAACTGCAGACTACATCATCTGGATGCAGTTTCCCTTGTTCTTGGCTCTGGCCATAGATCTGTCTCTGAGCCAATCACTGCATCTATAAAGAAATTAGTAACTGATTGCCTTGAGTTTGAGTTTAATACCCTCTCTGAGTTGAACACAATGGAAAGATGTGTGGCATTACTCTCATGTATTAATTTAAGGGAAGCAGAAGTAATGGCTACAACGTGAGTTAAAAGGATTTCTATCCTAACAAAATGAGCTGTTGTAGAGCAGTGCAGTGGAAACTGGGAAGGGAAACAGCAATGTCCTCCATTCTGATGATGTCTTCCAAGGCTCCTCACCATCTAGCTCCAACCCACACCTCCAATTTGCCATCATAGCTCCTAAATTACTCTTGTCAGACTAGAGTCCTTGTCCAAAGTTTCCATTTCTGTGCTTTTACTCTGAATGACTTTTATGGAATGCCCAAGCTCCTGCCTCTGCTGTCTCTTCTCACCTGTCCTTCTCAGACAGGAAACCATGCCTGGCTTTTAAGACACACCTCAAATACCATTTCTTGTAGATGCTCCCAATAAAAAAAACACTGAAATTATAATCATTGATCTTGATTTGCATCAGAGAGATTGAGTAAGAAGGATTTGGTTGCTTGGTCTCTTTCTTACTAAAGAATATGTCTTTCTATTTTAGCCAAGTTTTGACGTACTAATGCTTTGTTTTGAAAATGATTCTTGTTTTGGTGTGGGGGGGAGGTCATTACTGGGTTGGAGCTCACTGCTCACTAAGCAAGTGTTCTACCTCTTAAGGCATGCCATCAGAAAAGGTCTCACTTTTTGCCTGGACCAGTTTGGAACTACGATCTTCCTACTTATGTTTGCCATGCATAGCCAAGATCACAGGCATGTGCCACCATGCCCATCTTGATTTCTAGTCTTTCTCTATAGTTCAATGATGTCTTCTCCTTTTAAAACCTAAAATACTATTGAATTAGATTTTTGAGATAGAATTTTTGAAATCCTGGGAGACTACTTATTGTATTAAGAGACTATTCAACAGAATAACAACCCAGTAATCTGGAAATTATTACTCAAGTGAATGAAAACCAATGAAGGAAGCCTATGAAAGTCATGCATTCACTGCCCTCAAGAATCAGTACATATTTTCTTTCATATGTAAGGAAGTCTTGCTCTACACAGTTCTTAATTTTTTGAGAAGTCACAAATCAAATTTCATGGTCTCATTTGTCTATATTATAATCATAGAGATGAATTGCACAGATTCTTTTCAACTTTTAGTGGTCTCTAATACCTCAGGTCATTGGCAAGTCAACAATAAACTGTAGGTACATACTGAACTTCATCTTTCCAAGGTAAGTGTTACAGCAGCCTCCTTAGTAGTGCACCCAGCCTGTTGTTTGTATGACTTGCCCTCAGGGACCTTGGAGATGGCACTTTGCAATGGATTTTCATGTCCTGAACCTCATGCTATACACATCTAGGTTCCACCCAGGTATGTGAAGTGCTTTGGGAAGCCCTGGGGCATACTGACCATGTTAACATTGGCCAACTCACTATGGATTTCCATACCGAGTTACTGAATAAAGAACATGGAATCCAAGTCCAATGCATGGCCAAGTTTAAAATCCCTAGCTGTTGACAGACCCTCATTTCAAAGTGAGGCATTATCTAGTTTAACATGAAAGAATTGTCTGATATGATGGCTCAGAAGCAGCTGGTCTTAGATAGTTGTGGGGGTCAGAGAGGTCCTCAATCGGTCTCCTGGATGAATGGTGCATCATCCACAAGTGAGCATTTGCGTAGTGCTGCCCTTTTGAATCACACCAATAAACCTTACTTTCTGTCCAAAAAAAGGTAAGCATTAATGAAACAAAATGCTTTGCATTGTATGGATAGTAACCACTAACTCATCTTAGGCTATCATAGGATTTTATCAATGTTGGAAGCTTGTGTTCTGATTTCTTTTAGAAAAAATAAGGGTGTAAGTAAATGCTGACATGAATGCATTAAGAAACCAAATTATGACATATAATATCAATTTGAATTGTGGAACAAATGCTTTGTAAGAACTGATATGGTTATCTTTTATGTCAATTCCAGATATCCATGATGAATGGTGGATATCTTTAATCAGGCTTTTAATGATGTAAGAGTTCATATGATTTTAAACATTTTTCCTTTTGTGGCTCACACTAATTTTTGGAAGGATCAAATTCACTACTAATTATGAGAAGCAAACAAATGTATAAAATATGACTCATAATGAAGGTCAGTGTAGCACTGAGTTAAGAGTTCAAACACTGGAGGGTGAGTAAGTGCACGTCTAATAATGGATACAGGTGAAAAGATAAAGGAAGCAATTAGAAGAAATTCCTATTGCCCAAATCTGGGATGAGATGAGCAACAAAATAGATAATAATATCGAATTGCAAGTCATAAAATAAATGTAGGTTCACTCAATACAATAAATGAATAGATAAATGAGTGAGTTAATTAACACTTGAAGGGATAGAGACACTTCCTTATAGTATAATACATTATTTTCCTATAACAAATTAACACTAAATTAGTGGACTAAAGTGCATCATTTTATTTTAAAATATAAAATTACAGCTCTGAAGGTCAGAAGTCTAAAGTGGGTTTCACTGAGCTAAAATCAAAGTATTGGCAGGTAGGAGTACGTTCCTTGTTGACTCCAAGGGAGAAGCCATCCCCTTGTCTTTTCCACTTTATACAAGATTCCAGCATTCTCAGGTTTGTGGCCCCTTATAAAATTATCTCAGTGTCATATCAATATTTGAGATGACTTTTTTTTTCTTTCCCACATCCTTCTGACACAACTCCCCTACCTCCCTCTTCTCCATTTGCAGGAGCATTGTAATTACGTTTCACTATCTACAGAATTCAGAATAATTTTCTTTTCTTAGGTCAACTTATTAGTCATCATAATACCATCTGCAGTCTCATCTCCCCCTTGCCAAGCAACATTATTCATACATAAACAAATATGGACATAAAATTTGGGGGCTTAGGATACAGCCATTTGGGGGATATCATTACTCTACCTATCACATAGATTTATACTTCGTAATATAAAATGAATGATGTAACTGAAAATAATTTCAACACTACTGAAAATAATTATTATATGCATCAGTGAATACTACTCTTAGGAATGATGAGAAATAGGTCATTTAAATACTTACAAAATATCTCCCCACATGATATCTACTAATTACAAATGGAATAACTATTTTTACATATGCAAATATGATAGACATAATTATAACCAAGTAATTAGTGGGCCATAGGACAGTTAGAAACTATCAGATATATGTGTAATTGAAGTACCTAAAGGAGAGAGGAGGAAAAACAAAATAAATTATTTGAAGGATTAACGACTGATAATTGTCCACATTTGATGAAAATTATAAATCCAGATATTCAAGGAACACAGAACACTGCAAGCTGAAGAAATCTACAAGGCCCTTCATAATCAAATTTCTTAAACTAATGCTAAAAGTCTTAAGATCAGTTAAAGAAAAATAACACACATTACTTACAATGATAAGAACAATCTTGATTAGGCACCAAGAACAATCAAAGGACAACAAAGTAACTTTATTAGAGTACTGAATGAAAACAAGAAAGCAAGTCAATCTGTAATTTTACAATCAGCAAAAATATATTTAAAACTTTAAAGCACCGTGACAAAAAGATGGCTTAAAGAACTTGTCTCCAGTCATCTATTTCTAGAAGAAAGGTTTTTAAAAATCCTCCAAACAGAAAATAATAGTGAGATAAGTTTTGCATCTATGAAAAAGGAATGGAAAGAATAGGAAATGGTAAATATGTGTAGAAGAACAAAATCTTTCTTCAGTTTAGTCAAACTTCATTAAAAGATAACATTTTATTTCCTACTGAGAAGGACTAACTAGGATCATATTTACCCTACCCTACTGAAACAACGAACCAACAATTAAAATATATGAACCCAAGGTTTTAAAGACATCAGACAAAGAAAGGCAATTAACCCCGAGTAACAGAAAATGAAGTGAGCTCTAAATTGCCACAGCTTATCACTTTGAGAGAATTTTCAGGATTAGTAGCAGGAAAAGGAGCGGCCGCAGCGCCTGCCCGGACTCCGACAGTCAGCCCCGGGCTGGATAGACATCGCAGCCCCTCATCCTCGTACGGGTGTCTCATGCGGGAGCCTCCAATTAAGTAAGAAATCAGGCCTGGCTGAAGACATTTACACAAAGACTGGACGACTACTTTTCCAGAACAGAAAGTAAACTCATGCATCAGAAAAGGGTCCAGTTTTCTGTGTCCTGAGATACAGTGAATGTATTGAATTAGTTCAACAATTCAGAAGGCTTAGGACTACTTTCAGCTAGAAGCCTGTTGGTGACTAATAAACGTATCAAAAGAATATGGCTGCGCAAATACCAGAGTCTGATCAGATAAAACAGTTTAAGGAATTCCTTGGAACCTACAACAAACTTACTGAAACCTGCTTTTTGGATTGTGTTAAAGACTTCACAACAAGAGAAGTAAAACCTGAAGAGATCACCTGTTCAGAACATTGCCTACAGAAGTACTTAAAAATGACACAAAGAATATCAATGAGATTTCAGGAATATCATATTCAGCAGAATGAAGCCCTGGCAGCCAAAGCAGGACTCCTTGGCCAACCACGATAGAGAGTCCTGATGGGTGGACTTTCAATGAAAGATTGCAAATAGCCATTGCACTGGAAATGAGGATTCATCTGATAGAATCCCCTGAAAGCAATAGGCACCATATTTAACAATCTGTCATGACTGCTTGGTAAATGGAAACCACTGGAGAAACAAAATCCCTGTTTACTGGTAACAAAATAGAAGGTCTTTGTTCAGTGAAAATAGTAAGATGCAACATTTGTGAAGGCCTTAAGATGCAGCAGCTTGGTCAATTTGATTAGAAAAATAAACCATTGTTTCTTCAAAAAAAAAAAAAAAGTAGCAGGAAAAGACCTGAGAAAATTGATTCCCTGAGCTGGGGTGATGCGCTAAGAGTCTTAGGAGATCAAGGTGGCTAGAATTCTCAGCACAGAGTGACAGAGAGGACAGAGAAAGCTTTAAGTGTATGTAGAGTGAGACTCTTCATTTAGCTGTATAGAGAGAGCTTTGAACATATACAGAGTTCTTAAGGTTGTAACCCAATATTGTTAGGATGTTAATTTTTTTCAAAATTGGCCTATGGTTTCAGTGCAATTGCAATCAAAACCCTGTCAAAGATTTCTATAGAACTTAGCAAAATGTTTCTAAAATTCATATGGAAATACATTTGACCTAGAATAGCCAAAATAATTTTGAAAAATAAAGTTCATCAATACAAATGACAAATATAACTTGATATTGTGACTTATAAAAGAGCTGACATTTTAAAGGCATCTTTTTCAGAATGCAAATGTCACTGATGTTTTGTGCAGTTTGCTTTCTTTGAGCTCAAGTGACCCAGGAACATGGCTACATCTGTTTCCCTTCAGTAGCAGATTTTAGCCACAATGTTACTCTCTATGTTCCAAATACATATAACCTATTCTACTAATCCATGTCCTTAAATTTTCCTTTTCTTTCTTTCTTTTTAAAAATTTAATTTGGGGGGAATGCTAAATAACATTAGAGATATTAGGTGATAGATGATAGATAGATAATACATTCACACATATGTAGATCTGTTTGACAAAAACTTCAGATAGTGGTTTGGAAAAAATCATAATTTCTCAGAACCTAAGCAGGATTCAGGTTACTGAGGCTCACACCTTTTAGTTCAGTGTTGCAATTGAACTTCAAACTCACATACCAGCTCATGATCTCATTGTTTCCTGTAAGTATTTGGAATTACGGACTTCCTTATTTTTAGATTATGCTAAAATAACATTATAACTTTGTCTTTCTTTTATTACTTCTTTTCCCTTGAGTTATTATGCAAGCATATCCTTGCTTCTGTACATTACCATAATTCAAATCCACCCCAATTATCAAAAACAATTCTAAAATATTCTTGTTAACAAAACCAATTTACCTGAGTTTTACAAAAATTTTGAAGCCTTACTATGTTTTCGATCCTAAGTTATAAACATAAATTCACATGAGCTCCTACAATAAGAGATAGAATGAAGTTAGTACTGGTGGCTTGCATCTGTCATCGAGGTACTTGAGTGACTAAAAATGGGAGGATTGCAATTTGAGGCCAGCCTATGCAAAAGGGTTTATGAGACCTGCCCCCCATCTCAGCAGAAAAAAAGCTGGGCATGGTTGTTTGTGCCATCCATCTCAGTTACAGAAGGAAGCTTAAGTCAAGATTGTGATTCAAACTGACATAGGCAAAATGCAAGATGCCATCTCCAAAATAACCAGGGCAAAAAATCTGGAGGTATGCCTAAAGCAGTAGAGTACTTGTCTAGCAAGCACAACACCCTGAATATAGACCCAAGCACCATGACAGAGAATGCAATGTGAATATTTTCTTTTATTACAATTTTTCCATTCTTCAGATGTAACTTTACATCACCTTCCAAATTTACAAGGTTATTTTAAGAACCAGAGTGGACTAGAATAAAGTAATTTATGACTCTACAAACTTTGCAGGGTGAAAGCTGTAGAATAAAGGACACAACTTTGGAAAAGAGAGTCCTGTGTTTGAATCTTTGCTAAATATTTCCTAATTAAGGAGCTTTGCAAATTTTCTTATACTTTCTTAGCCTCTGTTCTCATATCACTAAAATGAGGATAAACATACCCATGCCACAGGATCATTATGAAGTTAATGTGAAATAATCAATATTAAGCTGCCAATTCATAGTGGGTCATGGTTCAGTCAAACATATTCTCTCCTTGTAAAATGGAATGAGGGACCACGAGGCTGCTGATCATCAAGAGAAGGGAAAAAGCTGTCAGCAGTAAGTAGAACATAACAATTTATAAATTTCTTATTTCACAACAGGCTTTGGGATATCCATCGCCCATGGAAATAAACAAGTTCTAAGTCTGGGGACGGTTCCCAGCCAGACTCCACTGCAAAGGCACCTGAATGACTAACGTGTGCTGCACATGACTCACCAAGCCCTGACTGCAATCTGGGTCCATCTGCTGAGCAGAGCCAGCACCCCACCCTGAATGGGCCCACAGGGCTGCTGCAGATCTCTTAGAAAGGGGGAATTCTGCTTACTCCCAAGATGCAGTAGCAAAAGCCTGCATTCTGATCATTTAGCCAGCTTCATGAAAGCAGCAGGCTAGCTTTTCCATGCACATTTAGATGAGATTCTATCCCTCTTTTAGTAAAAGGGAAGACTGATTTCAGGGAGAGGTGACTTTTTTGAAGTATCACAGGCAGACATCCCAATATCTCTTTAATCTGACACAGTTCTACTAGGCAATGTGCTGCTCAGCAGGGTATTTACCAAAGTGTTTTCTGTTTCTTGGGAGTTTGGGGGTAGGAATGTGAATGATGGGATTATATCACAAAAGTCTTCCAAATACCACCCAGGAGCCTCACATGCTGAGAATTTTTCTGGATTCCCGGACACATGCAGTTTGACCCTTAGTTGCTAAACTGCCTACTTGTGGTTTTTCTCTCTCCATCTGCTGTGATTACTTGAATCCTTCTTTACAAGAATTCAGCTAGACAGTGAGGCGAATGCATAATTGAACATTGACTTACATACCCTCAGCAGATAATGTGGATCAACTGTGACCCTTATTCTCACTGAGAGTAGAAGTTATCTCACAAAATTCTCATCTAGTTTCCAAGGAGCCAGTACATGTGAGAAGCATTTCCAAACTACTGCATAGTCATGGAGAAGATGGTCCTCCATTTGACAATATTCTTCTTCAAAGCAAACTCACAAAAGATGTACTTCTAGCATAATAGTGGTAGTGCTGAGTCTAGAGCTTTGGCACATAGTAGGTGCTCAAAAACAATTTGTTGAATGAATGAATGACACAACTTAGAATATGTAATTGAATAAATTTTTCCAACTAAAATTACTCTTCTAGTATATCCCACATAAAAAATGACAAAAGGACAGAGATTTGATTTTTCTTAAATTTGTTAATACTTGCTATGTGTCCTAAACTATTATTTATTCTGCAGAAAATTCCATGAGCTGCTGAAAATGTGTGTTGCGTGATGGTTGGATAAAATACTCTATAGATAGCTATTAAGTCCATTTTGTCTAAAGTGTCTGTTCATTCTGATATTTCTTCATTGATTTTTTTGTCTGGGTGACCTATTTATTGGTGACAGTGGTATATTGAGATCTCCCATTATCACTGTGTTGGGGTCTATCTGTGCTTTTAAGTCCATTAGTGTTTTTTAGTGTAGTTGTGTGCCCCAATGTTTGACACATATATGTTAAGAACTGTTATTTCCTCTTGATAAATTGTTCCTTTTATTAATATGAAGTGACCTTTATTGACTCTTCTGAGTTATTTTAGTCTGAAGTCTACTTTGTGAGATATAAATGTACCTATTCCTGCCTGTTTTTGGGTCCATTTGCTTGGAAAATCTTTTTCCACCCTTTCACTGTAAGCCAGTGTTTGGTTTCTTTGTCTCAGTGAGATGTGTTTCTTGTAAGCAACAAATGGTTGGGTCTGGTTTTTTAATTCAATTTGCTATCCTATGCCTTTTGATTGGGGCATTGCATTGAGAGGTGTGTGGTGTTTCCAGTCATTTTTATCCCCTTGATGTTTGCTTTTCCCCTCTTCCTTGTTTGCTAGTCTGCTTTGTCAAAGGGGTTTATTCTTTCTTGCATTTTCCTGGCTGATTAATTTCTTCTTCTGTGTGTAGGAGTCCTTTAAGTGTTTTCTGCAGTGCTGGTTTGGTGGTCATGAATTCTTTTAGTTTATGCTTATTGTCAAAGGTTTTCATTTCTCTTTCAATTAGGAAAAACAGTTTTTCTGGATAGACTAGTCTAGGTTGACAGTTGTTTACTTCTAGGGTCCAAAATATATCTTTCTATGACCTCCTTGTATTTTGAGTTTGTGTGGTGAAATTTGCTGTTATTCTAATGGGTTTGCCTTTGTATGTAATCTGTCATTTCTCTTTTGTAGCTTTCAGTATTCTTTCTTTGTTCTGTATATTGAATGTTTTGATTATGATAATGATATATCTGGGGTATTTCTTTTCTGGTCCTGATGGTTTGGCATTTGGTAGGATTCCTCAACTTGCTTGTCCCTCCCTTTCCCAAGGCTGGGGAAGTTTTCAGCTATCATGATACTGAATGAATTATCTATGCTTTTAGTTTGTATATTTTCTCTTTCTTCTATACCCATAAATCATAGATTTGATCTTTTGATGGTATCCCAGAAATCTTGCATGTCCATTCATATTTTCTTAGAATTTTTTCATGGTCTTTGACTGTTTGTTCTAATTCCTCTACTATGTCTTCTGTTCTTGATACTCTATTTTCAACTTCCTCCACTCTGTTAGCTAAGCTTTCAATTGAGGTTTTTTTTTTTGGATACTGAGATATTTGTTTCAAAATGGTTATTTTTCAGGATTTCTATATCTATTGATTTCCTCTTTCATATCCTGCATGGCCTTGTTAATTTCATCCATCTGTTTGAATTCTCTTTGAGCTCCTTTAGTGGTTTATTCATATCTTCTTTGAGTTTAGTCACTAGCTTATGATTCTCCTCTTTGAGCTCATTGGTCATTCTTACCATTATTTTTTGGAATTCAATATTTGATGTTTCCTCCTCATTGCTGTTGTTTAAATTTTTAGTAGTGGAGTTGATTTTTGAGGGAGAGCAGTTGCCTTGTTGCTTCATGTTTCTGTGTTGAGATTTATGCATCTGGGATCAGTTTTGCTTGGAAGTTCCAATCCCCTATACTCTTTTAGTTGGGGCTTTATGAAAGATTCTACAAGTGATGGAGCTCTGGTTTGTTTTCTTGTGTCTAGATGGGGAAGTAAGTGGCTCAATAGTAAACTCT